GGGGGGGGCTCTTAGTTAGGTCAGTAAGCCACTTACCAACCACCTAGAATACCTTAGAAATAATTGCAATAAATGAGAAGGACATTTTAGCCACTGATATAATGATAATAAAATAGCATAATAAGTACACCCTTAAAAAAATTAATTTTTAAGACTAAGACATGGGAATGTCTAAAAAAAAAAATATTCTAAATAGATAAAACTAGGGATGTGCACGAGAACTTAAGTGTTTGGAAGTGACAGCAATGATAAATGATGAAAATGATAATCGTGTGACTCAAAAAATAGTCTATATCAAAATATGCCAAATTATCGAGGTTATGTCCAGGTATCATACAATCAATTGATAAAGTAATTATTGAGACCAGCCAAAAAACTTATTTAAAACGTCATTTAAAAGAGATTGATGTTTGTTAAGATGGGGATCCATTATGAGCTTGTTTGGAAGTTTCGTAGTTTATGACACACACCAATACGAAAGGCCAGTCCTACAGTTGCAGGAGCCTGTGGTCTGGCTGTCTGATTTGTGAAGCCGCAGTCTCCTAGTGTCTTACTGTCTTCTAGAGGCTGCTCATCCTGAAACACATAATATCATAACTAATACAGAAAAACCTGTAATTTCAGTCACTCATACTTGAAGGTTAATATTAGGGTTAATAATAATATTATCGCATGCGATTTATCATGCAGCCTTAGTTAATATATATCATATCAATGAATCCAAACCTTGTATAGTCTCTGTTCCTCGGGGGACCTCTTCAGGATGCCCTCCACAATGCGTTTCAACTCATAGACGGTTGTGGATTCTTTGGCGTCAGTGAAGATTGTGGTTTTGTGATGCCTGATCATTAAGAATACATCCTAGACAATGGTGTGGGGATTAGTTAGTCAGTTTCCAACAACATCATGCAGTGATTTGAGTAGTTGGACTATGCATTTATGGCATGCATCTTTAAAAACTAATAATAATTTTTTTCTGCACCTACTGTAAACATTTTTAAAAGTGCAATGACCTGTATGTGGGGCCAGGCCTGTATATAGAATTTTTTTTGATCCTGTGTGTCTGATTCCCCAACTGTGTCCACCATGAGTTCAAATCCACCTTTTTCTGATCCCTCTCCCTTTTTCCAAAAAGTGGAAATAAAGTTCCTTAAAAGCTATTTAAAAGACCTATAACTGCAATTTGATGTGGTGTTCTTGATCATAGATCAGATAGGCTGGAACAATGGCCGGGACACATGCAGCTCATATTGTTACCACATTCAGTTTGTTACGTGGCTCCTTTCCTGGACCTTTGAGGGACACCTTTACTGATCAGCAGATTCAATATGGTTAGGGGCAGGTGTAGGGTTGGGCTTTAGGGAAAGGGACAAGTAAGGTCCCAATAAGGCAGTATCGATTGCACAAGTATAAGCAGCATCTAAAACAGTGTTAATTTCGTTGAATAATTTTCATCATCATTTTCGTCAATGACGACAACGAGACAATAACGAACTAAAACTCTTTTTGAATGACAAAAACTATGACGTAAATCTAATGACATTTTCGTCAACGAATAAAAATGAGACGAAAATGTTAGGGAGGGACGATTTGGGAAGAGATTCATTCAGAACGAATCTGCTGCGTGATTCTGAGGTTAGATGCGTACATATGAACCGACGGGACATAAGCTAACATACACTTGCTGCACGTCGCATAAAACGTTCAAAAATGTCAATATGTAGGAGTAAGAGAAGAGCAGACATATGGATAAATCTGACAACGCAAGAGAGAACTCAATTCGGTCCGGTTTTCTGAGCGCA